TGTTCCTCTGTGTCTCTCTGGTCAAATTAAAATAAATGAATGAATAAATACAATTAAAAAAAAAAAAAGGAAATCAGTAATGTTTTACTCAAAAGTCCTAAAATTGGGGACCAGCAGTTAGCGTAATGGCTGTCGCTAGACTCCCATGTAGTCGACTGTGGTTCAAGTCCCGGACCCGGTGGCTTAAACTCACACTGGGCGCATGTGCGTGCGTGCCCAAGATCCCAAAAGGAGAATGGAGGAGAAGGGATTGTGGCGTGGCCATCCACCTTGGGGGGTGATTTCTCGCTTTCTATCTCTCTGTCTTTCTGGTGAGCGCACGCGCCCTATAGCAAAAACCTCTAAACAACAAAAAAAAGTCCTAAAATTGTATTTTGCCAGTTCAGTCTTACGTTCAAATTCTCTTCTGTTGAATATGCAGTGTTACCGTGGTCCAGTCTTTCCGTTTAAATCCTGGAAGTTGCCATTCAGCATTTTTATTGATATTTCTTGTCCCTAGCATTAAACTGGTCATTTTCTTGGTTGCCTTTTTCTCTCTTATTTCTGTACGTGTCTTTCGTTTTCCTGGTGGAGCATTTCTTTCAGAACTTCTTGAAGAGTGGGTCTGCTATTGGCAAATTCTTTCAGATCTTGTTTATCTGAGAATGTTTTTATCCTTTCTTTCCATATAAAAGATAATCTTGCCGGGTATAGTATTCTTCGTTGAAATTGTTTTTCACTTAACACTTTGAATATATTTTCCCACTTTTTCTTTGCTTGTGTTGTTTCTGATGAGAGGTCTGAGGTTAACCTGATTAGATAACCTTTATAAGTAACCTGACGTTTCTTTCTTGCCAATTTTATATTGTCTTTGTAGATTTGGCCAGTCTGGCTGTGATGTGCCTTGGAGATGTTCTTGGGTTAATTCTGTTAGAGGTCCTTTGTATTTCTTGGGTCTAGATATCTGAATGCCTCTCTAGATTTGGAAAGTTTTCTTCTAAGATTTCATGGAATAGATTATCAATGCCCTTACTAGTTTTCCTTTTCTTTTCTTTTTTTTTTTATTGCAGTCTGAAAACAGCCACTGTTTATTTACTGACCAGATTACAAAAATAATCATGGTGGAGTCCTTACTTTATCCTTCTAATAAGTCTGTTGATCTGGTCTTCCCTGTTGTCAGCATCTCCACCTTCTACAAAATAGGTGGTCTTTTTCTTCATTCTACCTCGTGGAGAAGATAATTTGAAGGGCCACAGGAAGTTATTTGCTTCTTTGAAGCGTTTTCCAACAGTACAGATTTCATGAATCAGATCCTCCATGCAGATGATGCCGAATTTTTATTACCAAGAGATCGCGCAAAGAGTTATCTGTCAAAGCAATTTGCTTCTTATTGATTTTGCCATAACCACATTTGTAGATCAGTTCACTTACTGACTTCAGGTTCGGGTACCCCATGCAATCTATGGTTCCACAATTCTCAGCATGTTAATTGAGGCCTTGTTGAGTTTAACAAAGGTACCATTGCAGATCTGGTGAAGACAAAGGAGCTGCAACACCTTTTGAACCTTTGGGCTCACTCCATTGATACCTCTGATCCTGATGACAAATGCCAACTTGGGTTCTGCAGGTACATAGAAGTTGCCAGCTTTTCTTGCCGTCCTGGCCATGCGAGTCTCAGTTGTGTACATCTGTCTATATTCCTTATAATAGTGCTTAGCTTTTTCATAGGCAAGCTTCCTCCTTGCCTTTCGAAGCATCTTTTGAGTAAACTTCTTTCTTAGGCACTTGATCTTCAACTCTGCAAAATTCCTTTGCTTTTTCTTAGGGTTTCTGGCACAGCAGGAACCTTTTTCTTGGTGGCTTCCATGGCAGCAGGACCCTTTTTCTTGGTTTCTGCTGCAGCAGGAACCTACTTTTTCTTCTCTTGAATGCCCTTCATGGTTCCAGCTGGAAAAGAGCCATGCCCTTACTAGTTTTCTTACCTTCTGGGATATCAGTTATCCGGATGTCTGCGTGCTTGATGCTGTCTAGTATTTCTCATATAGTATTCTCAATTTTTTGGGTTATTTTCACAGCTTTTTGGTTGTTTTTTCTAGATCAGAGGTTTTGTCTTCAACATCTGAGATTCAGTTTTCTGCATGGACTAATCTGCTTTTAATACTTTCGAGGGAGGTTTTGATCTCCTGAATGGCAACCTTCATCTCTAGCAATTTCATTTGACTTTTTTATGGTGTGTATTTCCTCTTTCAGATCATAGAAGAACTTCAACATCTCCTGGAACTCGTTGTCTCTTTTCTCCTGCATCTTCTGGAGTTCATTCTCTCTCAGCTCTTGCATCTCATTTAGTTTTGTCATTATGAATATCCTGAATCCTCTCTTTTTTTTTTTGAAGAGGTTATTGCTATAGGGCATGTGCACTTGCCCGAGAGACAGAAAGCGAAAAATCACCCCCCAGGGGGATGGCCATGCTGCAATCCCTTTTCCTCCAATCTCCTATTGCGATCTTGGGCACGCACGCACACGTGCCTGGAGTGAGTTTATGCCCCTGGGTCTGGGACTCGAACCGCAGTTGACTACATGGGAGTCCAGCGACAGCCATTGCGCCAGTTACTGGTCCCAATATTCTGAATTCTCTGTCAGACATTTCTATGAGTTCTACTGAACTGTCTGTGGATGCTGAGGGGTTGTTCTTTTCCCTTAGGGGAGAGATATTTTCTTGATTTCTCATGTTTCTTGTGCCTCTGTGGTTGTTTCTGATCATTCTGTGACAAAAGTCTATCCTCCACTGTGCTTTGCAATGTGGTATCCACAGAAAGATTAGGATGTATAAAAAGAAATTTCTTCATTAAAGCAGGAGGTTCAACAAGCAGTGAGGATTTCAGTGACTCTAAAAGTATTCAGATGCATGACTACTGTGCACCTAAGCCTATCTAGACATTCAGTGTGTGAAGAGTGAAGCTTAGAGAAAGTAAGGTTTTAAAAAAATTAGCAAAAAGGAAAAAAAAAACCTAGAAAAATGTTACTAAAAAAGAGGGGAAACATTTTTTTTACATGTAAAAAATTAAAACCACACAGCACGCTAGCACCGCATGAACACACCAGGACACACCTCAGCTTTAAAATGGCTTCTGGAATTAGCAAGTGAAAGAAAAGGCCCAAGGTGCAGAGAAGTGGTTGAAAATTTTTTTAAAAAATTAAAAATTTAAAGAGAGAGTGTGAGACAGACAGACAGAGACAGAGGAAAGACGGAGGTCGCCCTGTCTTGTCTGAATATTTTGGGAGTCTAGGAGATGGAGTTTAGAGCATAGCTTCCCTGAACACGCCAGGACACACCTCAGCTTTAAAATGGCTTCTTGTTTGAATATTTTGGGAGTCTAGGAGACAGAGTTTGGAGCATAGCTTCCCTGAACACACGAGGGCACACCTCAGCTTGAAAAAAATAGTGTTGTTCTTTTTTAAAGAAGAGACAGGCCTGTCAAAGTGGTTGAGCCAGTGAGGCATTCTAAAAGCCCCAACCTTATACCCTTTTTGCAACAAGATGGAAAAACATATATAAATAAGGTGAAAGAAATTTCTGTGTCTCTCCATCTCCTCTTCCAAGAATTTCACTTCAGTGGTGGTCATCTCTTCCTCCTTCTCTGTTAACTGGTTACAGTTGAACAATACCATTTTTTAGGTTACCCTGTCTGAGAGAGGATGGAAGCAGCTGGGCTGCAAATGTAGTTTTCCTCAGTGTCTTCAGGGGATTGGTTCTGGGACCTTATGCATATACCAAAATTTGAGGACACTCAAGTCCCATATATAAAATGGGGTAGTATTTGCATATAACCTACACATATCCTCCCCTATACTTTATTTTTTTTTTCCTAATTGCCAGAGAGTGCATGCACTTGCCAGAGTCAGAGGGAAAAGGAGAACACAAGCCTCCATGGGGTGTGGTCTTGTGCAGTCCCTTCTCATCCACATTGTCAGAACGTCAGGTACACATAGATGCCTGGTGTGTTTTCCAAACCACCAGGGCCAGGATTTAAACTGCATGGTCAGCCATGTGGGATCTGGCTCCCTTAACCACTAGGCCATGGGGCCACTTGTACACTTTAGATAACTTCTGGCTTACTTACAGTACCTGAAGCAACATAAATGCTACGTAAGGTAACAGTGTGAAGCTACCTAAATGTTACACTGTGTTGTTTAAGGGAAAGTAACGACGACGACAAAAAGGCTGTAAGAGTCCCCTATAGTCATACTGTCATAAGTAACTACATAGGACATGTCAGTAACAACAATGTTTTCTGTCAGTGGTTGGTTGAACCTGCTGTCCTGGAACATGAGGGTTCAGAATGTATCATCTATAATCATCTCTAATGTCCATTATAACTATGAGGAGGCACTGTTTCCTCCATATTCCAGATAGATAAAACAGGACAATTGACTTGCCCTGTTCTTCCCTCTGACTCTTGAGTTCTTTGAGGTTCAAGATTATTCTGAAGCCCAGGAGTCCCTACCCCACATATCTCAGACCTAACCTGGCGTATCTCAGGAGTCTCCTTATCTCTCTGATGGCGTGACCCGAGCTGGTGAAGGCTGCCTCTAGGGCTGAATGTGTATAGTCACCCACGATAGGGAGCCATTCTGAGAGCTGTTGTTAGGCAACTTCATCGTTGTGCAGACACGCTTACACACACCTGCTTGGTGCAGCCTACCACGTATCCAGCCTATAAGGCACAGCCTATTGCTTCTCGTGGGCCACTCCCACGTAGCATTGTTTCATCATTGACTGAACTGTTAAAGGGGTGTATGACTGTAGTTAGTCTTTATGCTAACCAGGGTCTGGGGGGTTCAACACTGTGGTGGACACACTAATTAAAACTCGGTTTAAACTGACCTATTAACCAGAGGAAGGCCATTAATGGGAAAATTGCCAAAATTCAAATAAGGTCTGTGGATTAGGTATTAGTATGAGGATCTTCAAAAAGTTCACAGAGGGACCAGCAGTTAGCGTAATGGCTGTTTCGCTGGACTCCCATGTAGTCGACCGCGGTTTGTGTCCCGGACCCAGTGGCTTAGAACTCATGCCGGGCGTGTGTGCGTGCGTGCCCAAGATCCCGAGAGGAGAATGGAGGAGAAGGGATTGCGGCATGGCCATCCCCCCCGGGGGGTGATTTCTCACTTTCTATCTCTCTGTCTTTGTCTGGCGAGCACATGCGCCCTATAGCAAAAACCTCTCAAAAAAAAAAGTTCACAAAAAATGCATTTTATGAAAAAACCATACATGGGTTTTGATTTTTTTTTCCTAAATGTTTTCTTTATGTTGGACTGACCCTATTGCCTAGTGGTTAAGCTAGCCAGATCCCACATGGCTGACCATAGTTTGAATCCTGGCCCTACTGACTTGAAAAACACACTAGGTGTTTGTATGTGTGCCCCAAATCCTGGCAGGATAGAGAAACGGAGGAGAAAAGATTGTGGCATGGCTATGCCCCATTAGGTGTTACTTTCTCTTACTCTCTTTGGTGAGCATACATACCCCCAGCAATTACAAAAACGTTTGTCCTGGTGGAAAGTAGCTTAGTGGCTACTTTTTTCCTGCAGGAAAAGATGGGGGAAGGGTTTAGTGGATCCCCCATTTTCTGGAGAGTTCCTTGGCCAGCCAGGCAGGCAGTTAGGAGGGCCTCTGCCCTGGCCACTCATCGGGTCCTCTCTCGTCAGCCTTCTCCCATGTGGTGGAGAACACAGCCTTCTTTGGTGATGTGGTACTGCGCTTCCCAAGGATTGTGCATCACTACTTTGACCACAACTCCAACTGGAACCTCCTCATCCGGTGGGGCATCAGCTTCTGCAACCAGACAGGCGTGTTTGACCAGGGACCCCACTCGCCCATCCTCAGCCTGGTAGGTACTGGGGCGGGAGAGGGCCAGAGTGCCACTGTCTAGTGGTGGGCTGGGAGTATCACATCTGCCTCCAGTTGGGCATAAATGTCAGTGCTTGTTTGTTTTCTTTTTTAATGTAATTAGCCTCAGGGCTTCCTGAGCCACAGAAGACCCCCATGAAGGAATTTTGTTTTGACTTGGGTCTCAGCATAGAGAGAGTGGCCCTGGGGAGCAGGAGGCAAGACAAGGCAGAGGATGACTAGCTTTTCCTCATCCACAGATGGCCCAGGAGCTGGGGATCAGCGAGAAAGACTCTGACTTCCAGAACCCATTTAAAGTAGACCGCACAGAGGTGAGCTGCTGGGACCTATGGCTGTGTCTTCTCTGCCCCTGCTGGGCCAAGGGAGGCCAGGACCTGTGGGGAGCTAGGGGTCTAGGGTGGATATAGAGGCTTTGGCTTAGAGCCAGGCGTACCTGGGTGTGAGCCTAGAAACTATCACTCTCTCACTGGTGCCTTTGGGCAAGTCATTTCTCCTCTTCTAGCCTCGGGTTCCCTACCTGTTCCTGGGGCATAGACCCTGCCATGGGGAATGTCAGGAAGCTGTGAACACTCATTCCAGCACACAGTAGGCACCCCATGTCAGTGGATGTCAGGGTAGCCAGTGGTGATCAGAATGGAGGAGAAGGGATTGCGGCATGGCCATCCCCCCCGGGGGGTGATTTCTCACTTTCTATCTCTCTGTCTTTGTCTGGCGAGCACATGCGCCCTATAGCAAAAACCTCTCAAAAAAAAAAGTTCACAAAAAATGCATTTTATGAAAAAACCATACATGGGTTTTGATTTTTTTTTCCTAAATGTTTTCTTTATGTTGGACTGACCCTATTGCCTAGTGGTTAAGCTAGCCAGATCCCACATGGCTGACCATAGTTTGAATCCTGGCCCTACTGACTTGAAAAACACACTAGGTGTTTGTATGTGTGCCCCAAATCCTGGCAGGATAGAGAAACGGAGGAGAAAAGATTGTGGCATGGCTATGCCCCATTAGGTGTTACTTTCTCTTACTCTCTTTGGTGAGCATACATACCCCCAGCAATTACAAAAACGTTTGTCCTGGTGGAAAGTAGCTTAGTGGCTACTTTTTTCCTGCAGGAAAAGATGGGGGAAGGGTTTAGTGGATCCCCCATTTTCTGGAGAGTTCCTTGGCCAGCCAGGCAGGCAGTTAGGAGGGCCTCTGCCCTGGCCACTCATCGGGTCCTCTCTCGTCAGCCTTCTCCCATGTGGTGGAGAACACAGCCTTCTTTGGTGATGTGGTACTGCGCTTCCCAAGGATTGTGCATCACTACTTTGACCACAACTCCAACTGGAACCTCCTCATCCGGTGGGGCATCAGCTTCTGCAACCAGACAGGCGTGTTTGACCAGGGACCCCACTCGCCCATCCTCAGCCTGGTAGGTACTGGGGCGGGAGAGGGCCAGAGTGCCACTGTCTAGTGGTGGGCTGGGAGTATCACATCTGCCTCCAGTTGGGCATAAATGTCAGTGCTTGTTTGTTTTCTTTTTTAATGTAATTAGCCTCAGGGCTTCCTGAGCCACAGAAGACCCCCATGAAGGAATTTTGTTTTGACTTGGGTCTCAGCATAGAGAGAGTGGCCCTGGGGAGCAGGAGGCAAGACAAGGCAGAGGATGACTAGCTTTTCCTCATCCACAGATGGCCCAGGAGCTGGGGATCAGCGAGAAAGACTCTGACTTCCAGAACCCATTTAAAGTAGACCGCACAGAGGTGAGCTGCTGGGACCTATGGCTGTGTCTTCTCTGCCCCTGCTGGGCCAAGGGAGGCCAGGACCTGTGGGGAGCTAGGGGTCTAGGGTGGATATAGAGGCTTTGGCTTAGAGCCAGGCGTACCTGGGTGTGAGCCTAGAAACTATCACTCTCTCACTGGTGCCTTTGGGCAAGTCATTTCTCCTCTTCTAGCCTCGGGTTCCCTACCTGTTCCTGGGGCATAGACCCTGCCATGGGGAATGTCAGGAAGCTGTGAACACTCATTCCAGCACACAGTAGGCACCCCATGTCAGTGGATGTCAGGGTAGCCAGTGGTGATCAGGCCATGTTCCTCCCTGCTCTGAGCACGTAGCTGGATTTTTTTTTAAATTATTTTATTTAACTTTATTTATTTTTAATGAGAAAGAGACAGAGAGAGAGAGAAAGGGAAAGTGAAAAAGCAAGCCACCAGGTCTGGGACTCTAACCATGGTCAACCATGTGGGAGCCCAGCGACTTTAACCACCACACTGCCTGCCAGATGCTAGAAAGGTTTTTTAATACAGTGTTTGTGCACTCGCTGGAGAAACAGAAAAAGTGAGAAATCAAGTCCTGGGGGGATGGCCATGCTGCAGTTTCTCCATTCTCCTCTCAGGACTTTGGGCACACATGTACACATGCCTGGCATGAGTATCAAGCCTCTGGGTCCGGGACTCAAACCATGTTCAGCCATGTGGGAGTCCCATGCTTTTACCACTATGCCACCTGCTGGTCCCATCAACTGGGCTTTTTTTTTTTTTTTTTTTTTTAAAGAGATTTTTATTAAAGGGCAAGTGCACTCGCCAGAAAGACAGAGAGAAAGTGAGAAATCACCCCCCTAGAGGGTATGGCCATGCTGCATTCCCTTGTCCTTTATTCTCAGGATTTTGAACACACATGTACTGGCACCTGGCATGAGTTTTAAGCTACCGGGTCCAGAACTTGAATCGCAGTCAGCCATGTGGTGGTCCATTGCCTTAGTCACCATGCCACCTGCAGGCCCCCACCAGCTGGACTTCTTTTTTTGTTTGTTTTTGTTTTGTTTTGTTCTGCTTTAAAGCTTGTACGCTTATAGAGGGGTGAGAGGGAGAGAGAGAGAGATAGATAAAGACAGTGAGAGGGAAAGTGAGAAATCACCCCTCAGAGGGGATGGCCATGCTGCAATCCCTTCTTTTACAGTTTCCTGCTGGGATCTTAAGCACACATGCAAACATGCCTGGTATGAGTTTGAAGCCACTGGGTCTGAGACTCGAACCACAGTGGGCCATGTGGGTGTCCAACAACATAACCGCTATGCCATCTGTTGGCCCCACCAGCTTGACTTCTTAACCATAGTCTTGCACATGCTCTCATTCTAGGGCCTGGGGTGGGCTCTGAGGCTAGAGCTGCAGTTTAGGGTAAAAGATGGGGACACATGCAGTATAGGGAGAAAAAAGGGATCAGGGCAGGCCCAGGACAGGAGGGACAGGAAGGGCCCCATGTGTGACTAGGACCAGACTTGTCATATTACAGGCTGTCCCCGGGTATAGGATAGGGTGTCACACCTGTAAGGAGTCTAGGATTTTACCCTACTGTGGGCTAAGAGGCTTACCTGCTACTATTTCATGGACACCAGTAGCTCACTGCCTTCACACTGTTACAACAAAAGCAGGAACCAGACTCTGGTTGGTTCCTCTTACTCCCCAAGTTCCACAGTGGCAATACAGAGGGGCCCAGGCAGATGCTGTGCACAGAGTGGGTTGTCCTGATTTATTATCCATTACCACCCACATAAGAGATCTGGGTTGAGTTGCAGATCTTCAGTGCCATTGCTGATAATCACAGGGAGCACTGGTTGGGCCCACAGCACTCCTCATCCTCCAGGGAGAGACATTCTGTGGCTTGTTCTTCCATATACATTATACTCGGTTTAGATCACTGTTAAGTTGTTGGACTTTGTCATCGTAGAGCTTTGGCCTCAGTTCACCTACATGGCATAACCCAAGGCTGCTCCGGCTTCAAGAGAAGGCGATGAATTTATGTCCGTAGATTGAAACAAGGTTGTGCTGACCTAGGTGCCTGCACAAGGTCACTGTTGGGGCCACCTGGGATGGCATTAGACACAGCAGAAGAGTTCAGTACTTGTCATGTCTGTGGATGGGACAAGACGCACAGCTGACCAGATTGTCAGCCACAGCTGCTGCTGGGCTTGGGCATATTCTCGGATTGTTTTGCCAGGTGGCAGTGCTGGATCTAAGGGACAAAGAGCATTGATTATTCCCCACACTTTCTGGAACCTAAGGTGTTCTTTCCATAGATGCCAGGATTATTGTTATAAAATCCACACGACCATCCCAGTACCTGGAATTCCACTTTTTATCCAATCATCTCACTTGGACCTGTTGTTTCCAACCATCAGCTGTGAGTGGGACCAAGGGCATTTTTACAAATTTATAGATATCCAATATATCACCCCTCTTTGTCCAGGGTCACCACTGCAGAGGGACTCAATAAGCAGTATATTCGGCCAAGTGATCATAATTCCAATAATCTCAAACCACACCATTTCAAGCAGAGACCTTGGGGCCTCAGACCGGAAATAGGGAACCTTCTGCTTTGTTCCAGTCTGTGTGTGCTGCCCCATCTAGCCCAGTGATGCATTTAGATGGCAGTGACCTGGACGGTGTGAGCTTGGTCAGCTATTTGATTCCAGCTGGTCTCATCAGAGAATGGGTCTTCCTGTGGGCATCTAAGCGAGTGATCTGGCCTGAAACCACAATTCGTTTCCAGTTTGTGGCCCCACAGAGGGGTAGATGTCTTTGATCTGTCAGGCTGTTATCTACCAAGTGGCAGGCCACATGGCCAGACACTGACAACCATCAGTAATAGTACCACACATCTGGTGGTTTGAGTGTGATCAAGGAAGGGGGGACAGTCTTTAATTCAGACTGTTGTTTGACTGACCTTTATGGCAGTTAGTCTCCCAGCATCGGCAGAGGCCGGAGGGCTACTCCCAGAGCCACCCTCTGGGTTCGATGATTCTCTATGAGGACTCTCAGGACTCAGCATAGCCTTGTATTCATAGCTGTGATTTACTGCAGAGAAAGGATACGGAGCAAAGTCAGCAAAGGGCAAAGGCATCAGCAACTCTCTCCATTGCCTCCACTGCCTACCTACCCAGGCTGGTTGGGTGAAATCCGAGGGTGAAATCCAGAGTCCTCCCCTAGTGGGGGCCCATAGGATGTGCCTAATCCCCCAGCAGCAAGGCATGACGACACGTGTAGACTTGTTTGCCAGAGACGTTCACTAGAGACGTATGGCCAGGTGTTTGTGGGAGCTGGTTACATGGGCACCCTTTGTGTAACTTGTGCCAAAATTCCAAATTCCAGAAAGAAAGCAGATGTTCAGCATAAACCATGTTGTCTGCACAAAGACACAACATCATTAGTTTTAGCTTAACTGAACTAATGTGGAGCAGCCTGAGTACTTAGGGACTCTCCAAATCAAGGGCCTTGTTGAGCCAGTGGCTTTGCTTTATGCAACAGAGTAGGGGATATAGTGTTCCCTGCTGGGGTAGCTGCCACCCCTCATGCAAAAGCAAGGTGACACATCCCCCAGGGTTACTTGCTGCAATCATAAGCCTAATTAATGGCCTAGGTCAGGAGCAGTCAGGTGTTCTTGGTGCACCCAAGAAGAACGTAAACGGTTGCTTTTTCTCTCTCTGTCATTAGGAAAAGCAACCATGCATGTGAGATCTGACTCCCTTAACCACTAGGCCATGAGGTCAGCCCCTGTCCTACTTCTTATGTGTATATCACTCGTATCAGGCTGACCACTGTCCCTTTTTAGGGGCTGGGCCTGCTCTTCAGGTGCTCATAGTTGGGTGGGGAAATTCAGGGAAATTCAGCCCAAGCAGGATGTTATCACTGTACCCATGGGGATGGGAGGCGAGCTGAGTTGTGGGACCCCAGTGAGGAGCCTGACTAGCCTGGGCAGGTTGGCGGTGAAGGCTATGGGAAGAGTCAGAGTTGCTGATGGGCCAGTTGAGGAAGAACCATCAGGCAGAAGGATGAACTTATATGAGGTCCAGATGTGTGGCACATTCAGTTGTTCAACATCTGGTGGGCAGCCATTGACTTCCAGCCCTGGGAGGACAGACTGTCCTGCTGTCCTGGTGGTAGTATCCTAGCTGGGGAAGATGGATGGTCAATGAAAGGTATGCTGTGGGGGGCTTATAGGTGGTTAAGGCACTGGACTCCCACATGACCAACTACGGCTCGAGTCTTGGACCTGGCAGCTTGCTTTCTCACTTTCTCTTGTCAAATTAAAAAAAAAATAAATAAAAACAGGGACCAGCAAATGGCATAATTGTTATGTTGCTAGACTAACACATAGTTAATTACGTTTCGAGTCCCGGACCCAGTGGCTTAAAACTCAGGCTGGGCATATGTGCGTGTGTACCCAGAATCCCAAGAGGAGAATGGAGGAGAAGAGATTGCAGCTTGTCCATCCCCCCTTGGGGTTGATTTCTCACTTTCTGTCTCTCTGTCTCTCTAGCAAGCACTCATGCCCTATAGCAAAAACCTCTCTAAAAATAAATAATCATCATCATAATAAATAAATTGGCACCCGCAGATGGTGTAGTGGTTACATTGCTGGACTCCCATGTAGTTGACTGCAGTTCGAGTTCCAAACCTGGTAGCTTAAAACTTATGCTGGGCACATGTGGATGTGTGGCCCAAAATCTCAAGAGGAGAATGGAGGAGAAAGGATTGCTTTGTGGCCATCCCTCTTGGGGGTCATTTCTTGCTTTCTGTTGCTCTGTTGAGTGCACGCACCCTATAGCAAAAATCTCTCTAAAATAATAACAATAATAATAAAAATAAATAGAATTAAATAATTCTTGTAAAAATGTGTGCTATGCTAGATGGTGACAAGGCTGTGGAGAAGAGAGGAATGCCCAGAGTAAGTTGGGGGTGCATTTGCTGTTTCACATGGCCTGGACACAGTCTTAACCAAAGAGATCTCAAGAAAGTGTGGGAGCCTGCTATGCATCTTGGAGAAGAACATTCCAGACTATTGGAGCAACACATGCAGAGACTGACTTGGGAGCATATCTGAGGGGGTGGGGAGTGTGAGATGATGTCCGACTTGTAGGCTGGATCGAGACCCTCTGGAGTCTTAGACAGGGATCTAGCATTCATCTGAGGTGTGCAGGGCCAGGTGTCAACTCTAGCGTAGCACCGGGAAGGACGAGCCTGGCTGCTGTGGAGCCTGTAGGATTTGTTGAGGAAGGAAGAGTGTATATGTGTGTGTGTGTGTGAGAGACAGAATAAGAGAAGCATTAATGGTGACTGGAAGGTTTTTGGCCTAAGTGCCCGAAAAAATAGGGCCACATTTTTCTCCATTGGTTGGAAATGAACTTAAGAGTTTATTACTGCACCTGGAAAGCATCTGAACAAAGATGGCAAGGAGGCAGTCGGACGTATGACCCTAGATTTCAGGAGGAGGTCGGAGCTGGACTACAAATGTGCGAGTCATGCCCATGTAGGGGACACGGAGAGTCACAGGAAGGAAGGAAGCAGCCATGGGGGGGGGGTGGGCAGTGAGAAGCAGCCAGATGAGAGGAGTTAGAAGAGGGAGAGATGGGCTTGTCAAATGCTTCTGGGAGATTATGGAAGGTGAGGACTGAGAACTGGCTGCTGGATTTAGCCACATGGAGACCATCTATGCTTCCCCTCCTCACTCTGCCTCCTGTACCTACAAGTGAATCTTGGCCTGGGGACCAGCAGGTGGCATGGTGGTTAAGGTGCTGGACACTCCCACATGGCTGTCCTTGGTTAGAGTCCCGGACCTGGTGGCCTGATTTCTCACTTCCTCTCTCTCTCTTTCTCTCTCTTTCTCTCTCTCTGTCTCTTTCTCTGGTCAAATTAAATAAATGAATAAGTAAAATTACAAGTAAATCCTGGCCCTCTTGTGCCCACATGCACTGCCTCCCCTCCTGTTTAAGGTTAAGGTTCTGCTTTTCCAGACATGGCCAACTCTTCCTCCAGCACCCGATCTTACTCCTCTTACATACTTTGGATAGGGGTCCAGCAACTCGACACCCCACATCATCAATTCTCCCCTCCCTAACAGATCAGTCCATCAACATAAAAATAGCTTAGATCGGAAGTCATGTAGCCAACCATAGGGTAGGGAGGTGGGAATCCTGGAATAATTCCACTGTGGCCTCCCACTTGCTGTGTGACTTGAGCACATCACTTACCCTCTCTGACCACACTACTGTGTTGATTTTCCAGAGGTATGACTCAGTCCAACCTGGTGGATACATTAGTCCACAAGGTGGAGCTCCTACTTTGTTTTTAACAACTACCTTGTCACAGTTGCCCTAAGAACAAGTAAAGGCAGCCTGTTGCACGTTACTCCTGAGTGTTTGCTACTATTGTATTTCATAGTCTTTTTTTTTTTTTAGAAATATTTTATTTTATTTAACTTATTTTTTAAATTTGACCATAGAGGGACAGAGTGAGAGAGTGAGTGAGATGTGGGGAGGGGAGTGAAAAATCAAGCTGCCAGGTCCAGGACTCGAACAGCAGTTGCCCATGTGAGAGTCTAGCACCCCCAACCACCATGCCACCTGCCGGCCCCTTATATTTCATACTCTAACATGACTTATTGAAAGAGTGCTGCTGGGAAGCAGACAGGTCCTGTGCTAGGGGCTAATGGCATGTGACAGTGCCCGATATCATCCTCCTGTCCTCACCAAATATGTCTTTGGAGGCGGCAGACATGAAGCAGGGGACCACAAGGCAGAAATGCTGAGGAGGCGGCAGTGCAGAGTTAATTGCAGAGCTAAAGAGAGCAAACCGGGAAGGAGGCAGCCAAGGCAGGGCATCAGGGCAGGTCCCGGGGCAGCAACTGCAGAGCTGGATCTAATATGGCAAAGAGGGCAGGCTGCAAAGTGCATTCTGGGCCCAGGTCACTGCATGTGCAGAGGCCAGGAAGTGCAAGGGCTCAGGGAATCCGGGAACCAACAGGCTGGGCCTGGGAGATAGGAATGGAGGTGTAGGCAGGGCAGGCGAGCAGTGCACCACGTAGAGCGTAACCTGAGAGTCAGAGTAAGGCTGGAATCCAGAGTGTGGCATGATCAGATTTGCTTTTTGAAAAGATTCCCTTGCAGTGAGGAGAATGGATGTGGGGAGACCTTGGGGTGGTCCTGGGGCCATCCAGGAGAGCCATAGGTGGTGACAGGGATGGTGATAATAGAGGTGGAGAGAAGTAGATGGATTTGAAAGTGACTTGGAGTTACAGCGAGCCTGGCCTTGGTGAGGGACTCAGTGTGGAGGGAGAGGGCATACTCTTAGACTGAGGCATGGGTTACCACTGTTCATTAGGACAGGGATGCTGGGCGAGTTCTGGGCTCTGGGGAGATAGGGCCATGCCAAGTTTGGGCGTGTTTGGGTCATCGCCACGGAGGTGTTGGGTAGGCACTTAGATGTGGAGATGCATGTTCGAGGGGTCATTGACCAGCAGGCGTAACATAAGCAACAGGTTAGGTTGGGAGAGAGCACAGAAGAAGAGCAAAGGGCTTGGAGTTGCAGCTAAAGAAAACTTCCACTGAGTCCCTATCCTCTGCCACTCTTGCTTGCCATGTGTGCTCACTGCACCGGCCACCCTGTCTTCTTCCCATCTCTGCCCCTGTACACAGCCTCACCTAGAGACTGCACTTGTCATTCATGACTCCTCTGCCTTCCTCCCCCTAGAGCAGGGACAGGTCGGGGGTGCGATTCCCACGGTCTGTGGTTGTCTCGTCCACTGGGCACCCCACCCTGAAGGAGTCTCTTGATTATTTCTCAGATGTCCCTTGCAGGTTCCACAACTCAGCTTCTGTACCTCTGCCTAGGATGTCCTTCTTTCCTCACCTCATTAACGTGGCAAATTCTGCTTTTAAGACCACTCAGCAGAGACCAGCAGGTGGCGTGGTGGTTAAGGTGCTGGGTACTCCCACGTAGCTGACCATGGCTCAAGTCTCAGACCTGACGGACCTTGCTTTCTCACTTTCTTTCTCTCTCTCTCTCTCTGCGTCTCTCTCTGTTAAAATTATAATAAGTGAATGAATAAATTAAATTTTTTTTAAAAAAAGGACTACACAGCAGTTTTTCCCAAAGTCCTTTAACTCTGTATGTTGAAGGCTTCCCAAGGGCAGGTCTGTGTCCAATAGCCCTCGTCCTACTCCCTGTCAGCTTAGCTTGGAACAGACTAATCAGACCATTCTGCTCTTCCCCTCAGTTCATTCCCAGCACTGACCCTCTCCAGAAGGCTCTGAGAGAAGAAGAGAAACGCCGGAAGAAAGAGGAGAAGCGGAAAGAGATCCGGAAAGGCCCCAGGATCTCGCGATCCCAGTCTGAGTTATAACTCCAGAGCTGCCCAGGGCACCGGAGGCCAGGAGGAGACCAGTTGGGAAAAAGCGGAGGCAGGTGTGGCTGTGGTGCAGCAGTACTGCCCATGCCAGTGAGCAACAGTCCTTCCACGTGGGAGGCCACATTTGCTAAGGGGACTGGGCTTCAGAGGGTGGGTTTACCTCCCAGGGAACACTGCTGCAGACAGAACCCTGTGGAGACCACAGGGGAGGTAGGAGGCACCTTGGACCTTCTTTGTGGGCTAAGAAGGGTGGCAGGCTGCTGTCCTTGGTGAGGAAGTAGAAGAACCAGGCTCTGAGCTACAGGGAGATGCCACACCTGCTGCTGCCCCCACTGTGTCACTGAGTTACCCAACCTAGGTATGGGCCCCTCTGCAGAGACAATAAAAGCCAGAAAACTCTTTGGGCTGACCAAGGCTAGTCAGGGGGCTTGAGAGAACTGGGGCCCTCAAGAACACAGAGACCAGCTGGGAAGAGGTTCCTGCCTCATTAGGAGGAGGCCCAGGCCCTGGCTGGTAGAGGCAGAAGCTTGGTTTAGGCCTCTGCTTCCTTCTTCAGCATTGCCCTTAACAAAGGATCAGTGTTATGGGAAGGAAGGGGGACCTAGAAGTTTCCTGGGAGGGTGCTTACCCCAAGAAGATCATCATCTCTGTCCGTAAGTGTTTGGAGACAGTCATGAACTGGTGCAGGGAAAACCCTTGACTTGTGGATGGGAGCTGCAGGGACATAGGCTGAGGTCCTGCAGGACATTATGCTTTGTGATGGCAGGGCTGCCTTTAGTAGGACTGCCTTGAGTCGGACAGTGAGGTCCCCATCTCAGGAGGTGTACAGACAGACCTGAGGCCTGCAGTGGGTTTCTGTGGGCCTTGGTAAGGGCAGCTGCCTTTCAGTTGTGCCCCTCCCAAGCAGAGGGAGGGGCTTCAGTGAGAACCCTGGCTTTGCCTTTTTGACCTTGCCATGCCAAGGGCTGCCTCTTTAAAAGACAGACACATACAACCATCCCCAGATAGTCCCCTCCCTTACTGACCTGGCCCACCCCTTCCCTTCTCTGTCCTGTGGCTTCATTAACCAAATGAGTTCAATGAGGTTTGAATTCCCACTCACCCTAACCTGCTTCCTGAGGCTGGCCTCCCTATTGGCCAAGGCAGCAAAGGTAAACTGAGCCAAGAACATCCTGCACCTCATTCATTGCTCAGGAAAAGTAAGATGGGGGTGGGGGGGCCTGGGAGGAAGTCTGGAATTTTCCTCCTAGAACTGCCTACTTGGTTCCCTTGCAGGACAGGGGAGGCAGGACTGAAGAGTAGGACTGACCCAGCTCCATCCCTAGCTCTGCCCTTCTTGGGCTGTGTGGCTCCAGCACGATTCCCCCATTTCAGATGCCCAGGTGGTTGGGAGGATGAGAGTCCTTGTAGGCAGATGGTACCGGGAATTTCAGTGACTTCTCTTGGACAAGTACCCTTCTGGGCATTGTGCTTGATTTGCTGAGCACCCACTGCATGCAGAGGCCAAGAGAGGGGCTCAGTCTTCTTGTCTGCCCTATCTGGGACAACCTCCTTCCTGGGCTTCTCCTACATTTTTAGCCTCCATCTTGATTGATCCCATCTTCTCCACCCTCAAATGGGTCCAAGGTTTCTCATCTGTCACCTTCAAGAAAACGAACAGAAGCACCTGCTAGCTCCTCTCCTTTCCTTTGCTATTATCAAATAACAGTGAAAGGAGGCCATTGTTTTGGACTAAGCTCCTGCTCTAGGCCCCAGCAGATCAGACTAGAATGGAGTCATGCTGAAATGTCCCATCATCAAACTGAATCTTTAAGGAAGCTGATAGATCCCAAAATTGAGCTGTTTTTCCTGAAAGTGGGATTCCAGTCTGAGTCAGCACTATTAGAAAATAAAACTTATGCACATCTTGTGGGTTTCTTAGGCATGTGCACCTAAAGTAGCACAAGATGTTACCTAGACTGTTTTATGATCATCCTTATTGCCCAGATACATTCTTCCTTTGCCTTCCAGATGAAGGACCAAGTCTTTGTTTTCCACACTAAGATCAAGCAAAGCGACTCCAGGTGATCCTAAGGTCCTCTTGCTGTCCTTAGCACAGGATTTAGCCAATCACAGCTGTGTGTGTGATCCTTGCTATTCCACACTCCCATTCATGACTTGCCTTTTAAAGCATCCTCATATCTCTAACATGTTGGTACACATTATTCTGTGCAGCTTAGATTTTGTGTGCCCAGACGATCAGCCTAACCCTGGCCCAAATAAAATATTTTGCTTTACTTATTGGCCTCAGGCTTCCTTTTAAGTTCGACACTGCCATTGTTGACTGTTGTGGTCACTTGCTCCAGGAACTTCACCCTATCTTTCTGTAGGTAGAGTCCACCTAATTCCCTTCCCCTGGCTGTAAAGGCCCAAGGGTACTTGTTCAACTTACTAACAGAATCAGTAGCCCCCTAACTGGATAAACCTAGCCCGTGTGGAGTGCTACTGGTGGCCTTGGTGGCCACTGATAGCATGGACAGCATTGGTGGGATGGTTCTAGTAGCCAGTTCAGTGCCAGAGTGCCCAATGGTGTCAACAGCAATGGCTTTCAGTGGTGTTTTCAGTGTAGTCTTGAGTATTGTTCCTGTCTGCTGGGTTTCCAGGCCTTGTCTGTGACACCCTGGAGTCTGGGAGCTCCTCAGTATCCTTTAAGGCATGCTTTCTCGACAGTGGCACCATTGGCATTTTGGGTCATATAATTCTCCATTGTGTTTGCGAGGAGGGCTGTCCTGTGTGTTGTGGGATATTTAGCAGCATCCCTGATCTCTACTTGATGCTAAGGAGCAGTCCTCCAGTTCACAACTAAAAGTATTGTCAGACATTGCCAGCTGTGCCTCAGCAGGCAAAGCCTCTCTGGTCCACAGCCCTCAACCTTCCTTACCCCAGCCCTACATCTTCCTCTGCTTTCCCTGATCAGTTGCCCTCAGAGATGCTGCTGACAGCTCCTTCTTGATATCCTCCCAGGCCTAGGGCATATGCACTTGCTTGAGGATGTGGGGCAGGGAGGATCTCCCTTCCCCCTTCTCCCTCTCCCCAAGATGGCCATGCTTTAATCTCTTCTCCATTCTTCTCTTGGGATTTTGGGTATACACATGCCTAGGGTAACCTGCTGGGTCTGGAACTTGAACTGTACAGTTGGCCATGTGGGATCCAGTTGCCTTAACTACCATGCCACCTGACTGGCCCTCAATTGCCCTTATAAACAGGGTTTTTGTTTGTTTGCTTATTTTTGGCTTGGTCTCTCCTCTCTTTTCTTCTTGGGCAGCTGAATCCTCAAAGACCTCAAAACGAATGGTACCTGTCCTGTCACCTCATTGTTTATGATTCCATTTATCCAAAACCAAACTTATTTCCAACCCTTTAACCCTGTCTCTTCATCAAACAATGGAGTATGGGGACTGGCAGGTGGCATGGTGGTTAAGGCGCTGGACTCCCACATGGTCGACTATGGTTCAAGTCCTGAACCTGGTGGCTTGCTTTCTCACTTTTCCTCTCTTTCTGGTCAAATTAGAAAAAGTAGTAATGATTAATAAAATTAATAATTTTTAAAAAACATTGGAGTGTATACTCTTGTTCAATCCAGCTGGATGACTTCCTGTAGGAAAGAGATCTGACTAAATCAAAGACTCAGAGAGGAGGAAGAAGGGGCAGGCACTGTGAGAAGAGGTCTGAAAGGGGAGGTACCAGAGGAAGTAAATGAGAAGCCATATGCAAAGTTCTCTGTGACCAGTAGGTGTTCCATCCACAGTAGATGTCTAGACATAATGTCATCTAGTCCAGTCCTTCCCTTTTCACATGAAGAGCCCAGGTCCTGAGGAGTGACTTGTCAACAGCCGCTCTACTCCTCAGAGCCAGCCTCTGTCTTCCTTCCAGCTAGGGCAAGGTGCTACCTAGAAGAGATATTCCATCAGGTGAGATCCAGGCCAGAGGGAGAATGTTAGGGTTGCTGAGGTTTCGGTCCAGTGTAATTCTATCATTTTCTCTGAACCTTCATTTGTGTCCCCTTGCCACTGGACTAGGCACCAGGGACTCTGGGCATGTGGGAGCCATGGAAACAGCTGCAGAGTAGAAAGTGTTGTGTCCACCTCCCTGGCCTCCTGATGTTTGTGGTAGCCCCCTGAGGCTCCAAGTGGGAGTGCACTGGACCAACATGAGTTGTAAGGGAGTTGCTGCCTCCTACCAGATGATCAGAAAGTAATGTCAGTGTGGAGAGCCCTGAGAGCCTCAGAGGCATAGTAGAAGATGGCACCATCCAGCTCAGTGTTAGGTCCAGAGCCAGAGCAGCAGGGTTCAGTTTTCTGTTTAAGGGTGAGAATGGCATAGTCTCCACCAACCTTCCTGTATATATATATTTTTTTTTTTTGAGAGGTTTTTTCGCTATAGGGCGCGTGCGCTCGCCAGACAGACAGACAGAGACAGAGAGACAGAAAGCGAGAAATCACCCCCCAGGGGGGATGGTCACGCCGCAATCCCTTCTCCTCCATTCTCCTCTCGGGATCTTGGGCACGCACGCACACGTGCCCAGCATGAGTTTTAAGCCACCGGGTCCAGGACGCGAACCACGGTCGACTACGTGGGAGTACAGCGACATAGCCATTACGCTAACTGCTGGTTCCCGCCCCTCCTGTATATTAACAATGAACAAAAGATCTTTGTTTTCCCTGAAATGAAGACTCTTTATACAGTTCTCATTAGTTATATATGTCATTATAAAAAGTAATTTAGATAATACTGAAATAACCAAGAAGAAAGTAACATTCACCTCAGATCCCCACTGTTTCTATAACTGAAGCTGACAGCCAGCTGTTGAGCCTTTCTATCCTTTTACCTTTGAGGTGAGCACATAGATTCTTGTTTTTCAGTTACAAAGCTGTCTTGTTGAAACCCTTACTATAGGCCAGGATTTACACCAGGTGCTAGGTGGCAGCAGCTCCTGCTTCAAGGCCTTTGTCCATGTCATCTGTTCCCCAGGTGGTTCTCTCATCATTTTAGTTTCATATTAAATGTCACTTCTTCAGACTCATCCTGATATCACAAGTCAGGTCCCTTGTTTTGTCACACCCATTACTTTTTCCTTGATCACTTGTCTCTATTATTGTACTTGTATCTGTTATTTATGTTTAATATCTGCTTTTTTCACTCAACTGGAAGCTCTCAGAGGGCAGGAACTGTTTGTCTGTCACAGAGGTGTTCAATAAATGTTGCCAAACAAATGTGCAAACGATATTTAATCTTCACAACTGTGAGGGGGGTACTGTTTTATCCCTGTTTTAGAGATGACAAAACTGAAGCTTAGGATCCTCACTTAATCAGCTCAAGGCTCAAGGACACAGTTTATTAGTGATTCCACACAGCCTGAG